TAGCAAATAAGTCAATTTTACTTTCAGATATTAGAGCCTTGAAGCCGTGTTAGTCATTACATATGGCAGAATATATTATATTGCATAGTGGTGCTTAAAACAATTTTGTTTACGGCAGTTACGGGTACAGATGGCGTATTACACATTTTATCTGTTTAAAATAATATCACACGTGCTATATTATCTACTTCGAAGACGGTCCTTCCAAAGATAAAAGGCATTTTAAACAATTTACACTTTGTTTTCATGATACAAAATATGCAATGTTAACGTTATAACGGATACTTTTGGCCAGTCTTGCATTATTTGGCTTGTAAACAACTAATTTTTCTCTGTCAGTTTATGTATGGTGTAATAAATACATTTTTTTCGTTCATGAAGGTAAGTGTTTCGTTTTAAATTATAAATATTCTGTAGTTAGATTTTTATTATTAATCTTATTATACTTATTATTTTTAAAATTTCAAACATAACCTCAACACAGAAGTAAAGACATGGTTTATTAATATTTTGCAAAAAACACTCATAAAATATTAATAACATAAGTCTGATAAGTAAATAACAATTGTTTCAATTCATACTTCACCTACAGAAACTCTATTTTATGGTAGGTACACAATGTGAGCCAAAATGTTCGCGGCAAATGGGAAATGTTTTATTATAAATCTCTTAGACACATTTCTTCCTTATTTGGTGTTCAAGAGAATTTCAGTCTTGACAATAAAAACATTTAATTTTTATACATAGTATTCTCACACTAAAGTTTAAAATATTGAAAGATTTACGGCAGCTAAATTTGAGAGTGTCATAAAAGATATAAAAATGCTTTATAATTTATTTGTTTCTTGTCATTACTCTGTTCAGAGCCAATCCTCTGAATTTTTGTTACTAAAAGTGAAATTTGTGACAGTACTAATTTATATTAAGAATAAAAAAACAGTAATATTCATTTACAGATAGTATTCAAATTTAGTATCGAACATTTATTTTAGAAATATTATAAGTGTCATTTTGAAAAAATATAATAACTTAAAGAAGGTTGTTTTTACTTTCAAAGATTTTTTTTTGCAGATAAAAATGTCGCGAGCAGATCGTATTATGAAAATAGTTCAAAACAGAAAGAACATTATAGATCTTCAAACAAGCTGTTCTTCATCCACAAAGGTAATCCAGGCCACTGATGTACTTGCTCAAAATGCTGAAAGGCCTTTATAGTCGAAATCTTGCAGTCAGGGTTCTAATTATCTAAAATTAACTAATGCACCAATGTCCCCCACCAAATCAGTATTAAATTATGAACTACATCCAGAGAAGATCACGGGTTTATATCACGCTGCTGGTTCTTTAAATGTGATTGAACAACATAATTTAAATACTTGCAGCCGCACTTCTATGGATTATTTAGAACAAAGCCAACCTGTACCTGATTGTTCCTCTGAACTTATTTATCAGGCGTCGCCAATTTATACAAATTTACAACCAATTCAAAACAATGCATCTGCATTAGTTGCTCCTGCTATTGTGTCTAAAGTTTTTCCTGAAAATTCACTATTGACTGATGAATGTTTACCAATAGTTTCCAAGAAATGCAGATCCACTCAAATAATAATCAATGTTTGGATATTGACACCCCAGTTGACCAGCAAAATTACTTCAATACAAATCAAAGATTGGTACAAGATGTTCAAAATTCACCAGTTCTTGAAGAAACCGTGGGTATAGACTTGTATATTGGTAATGACGGAGACGTTTCAGCTGATGATACCACATCTGGACCTAGCAAGGTAGTTAACTTTCGTAGCAGTAAAATGGTTTTGCAATCGGCCTATACAGACTTCTTAGATAAAGAAGAAAGAATTTTAGAGTACGACTGCGATTCAAGTTCTTGGGAAGGTTCGTCTGAGGAAGAAGATAGTACAGAGGAAACAGCAGCCAAAAAGAAATTGAAAAGGAAAAAGAAGAAAACAAAAGCGGTTGCTGCTGAAAATGGAACAGTGGGAGAATCAGCATATAAGAAAAATCGGCCTAATAAAGCGAGCGAAAGGCAACAACTATATCGAAGTGGCAAACAATATAAGAAGAAAAATGGCATAGAAGTTTCAGCAAAAGAAATAGGACCAAATCCATGTCAACCAAAGAAATGCACTAATCGCTGTGACGATATATCTGAGGAAAGAAGATTGAATATATTTAATTACTTTTGGTCACTATCTCCACAACGACGTCGCGATTGGCTTGTTTCGATGTCAAAAAAAGAATCTGTTAAGAGAAAGAGAATAAAACATGAAAGCAGAAAGTCCAATACATTTCTATATTTTATTAATGAAGGTGAAGGACAACGTCAAGTTTGTCTGAAGTTTTTATTATCTACTTTGAATATATCACAAAGATATGTTTATTACACACTCTCTAATGCTTGTTATGGTTTGGGAAAAGAGGATATGCGAGGAAAAAATATCCCTCCGAATAAAACAAAAGAAAAGTGTTGAACTCTGTAAGAAACTTCATTACAAGTTTGCCAGCAGTGCCGTCACACTATGCAAGAAAAGACTCCACCAAACTTTATTTGCCCAATGAGTTTAAGAATATTACAAATCTTTATAATCTATATAAGAAAAGAGAAATAGAAACAGGTATAGATGTATGTATAGAGAGGTTATTTAGAAAAATATTTACGAACGAATTCAATATCCGAATTCATATTCCCAAGAAAGACAAATGTATAAAGTGTGTTGGTTTCGAAAACAACCCTAGACCGGAAACTGAAGTAGAAAAGCAAGAACATGATAAAGAAAAAGTTGAAAGTAAGAAGAGATTTGAATATCACCAAAAAATTCATGAGAAAAATAGAAGTATCCTGTGTGTCTCCTTCGACTTACAGAAAGTTTTAAATACACCGTACGGAGAAAGTATGTTACTTTATTACTCCAGAAAATTGGCATTGTATAACTTTACTTTCTATGAAAGTACGACAAGGAAAGGCCACTGCTATTATTGGAATGAGAGCCAAGGAAAGAGAGGAGCTAACGAAATAGCCACATGTCTAGTATCGTTCATGAAAAAAATTGATGACCGTGGGAAAATCACGAAACTACTGCTTTATTGTGACTCATGCCCACGTCAAAATAAGAACCGTACTGTTTTGGCCTCTCTCCAGTACAACTTGATGTCCTGCAAAAATATAAATGTGATCCAGATTAATTATCTTCTGCCAGGTCACTCCTACATGCCAGTTGACAGCATGCATTCTGTCATAGAAAAAAGCGTAGCTAAGCATATTATTTGGGCACCTTCATGGGATGACATATCAGACAAATATTTTAAAGGAAATCTTGCAGGAAAAATAAGTTAAATAAGAGTCGCTACATTCAAGAAGTCTGAACCAACTAAGATGTATGCAAAGTTTTCAATGGCTTCAGATGCTCAAGAGAAGATCATACAAATCAGCGGTAAAGTAAAGAATCCACCAAATTGCAACTTATATCCAACACCTTTGTCAATTTCCAAACAAAAATATAACGATCTGAATAAATTGCGCCACTCGAATGTAATACCCTTGCAATATCATAATGAATATTTAAATCTACCTAGAGGTAATAGTGTAAATGATGTCCTTCCAGAAACTGACGAAGAAGATGGACTTTAACTTTAATATTGCCGATGTGTTTTTTATTGTTTTTGTCAAAAAACCTCAAAAAACCTTTTTTTTTTCATAGTAATAAAGTATTTTCCATTAACTTGAACTATTTCTTTTCGTCTTTTAATGTAAAATGTCTAGAATATCTAATAATGATGCAATAAATATAATACAATAATATTAGAATTTAAACCGAGAATGACTTATATTCTTATAATTTTCACAAAAGACACTTCTAATAGCATGCATCTCATAACATAAATACGTTCTAAAACATTTCACCTTCTCACAAAGTTACTCATATTTGGTAAATTAGCCGTTTTCAGTTACCTGGTTATGTAATGCATCATGTTTATAATACATTTCTCCTGTTTGCATTCAAGAATCACTTTGTATAATGCGCCATTAATTTTAAAACTAGATAATATTTCTTTTAGAAATTTATAGCATAAAAGGATTCTTTCCTAAGATTTGTCAAGATAGTATGCTTACAACAAAAATTATGATTTTTTTTTTCAAAATTTCAAACTTTAAACGGTTCTCCTGTAAAATTCACAATTGGCGTATTAGCTGTTTTAACTTTCAAGCGTCGATATATATATATATATATATATATATATATATATATATATAATGGTATGCTACGTAGGTGATACAATAACCAATATATGTTCTAAGGAATGCATTATTAAATTAACAAAACTGCCAGGAAATTTAATATGATAATTTTCCCAGAAAAGATAAGGTGTTATTAGCTTTAAGAAATCACCTAAAAACACTATTAACAAAAAAATTTAAATTTGAAATTTCCCAATTTACTACTAAAGTAACAATTTAGGAACCACCACTCTCTCAGGCTCGTAGTATAGCTGTTCCGTACAGTTGATGACACTATTAAGAGTGCAACTTATTATGTCATCATAAATGATTTCCTTCTACCTTAACTTCTGCCTAAACTTAAGAATGCATTTTCAGCAAGAATATTGAAAGGTGAATTGTTTCAACCTATAATCAAGCTTGGATAACAAGACCATTTGCAACAATTTTATAACCAGATTTTATATCTTCATCAGATTCTAGTCCTGGTAAAAACATATACTAACTAATAAAAAGTAAAGTAGAAGTAGCATACCATGGATTAAAAAATATTTGAATCGATTTAATTTATAAGCCTAGACCACCATGACCACCATTATGAAGACGACCTTATTAGAGGTTTTATTAATCTTTAGTTAAATAATTATTATGATTATACTAGTTAATAAAACGAAAAATCCATTCTCAATAAATATTGTATTTACACACATGTAGATTATTTTGATTATTCAATGTTATATTTTTTATAATAAATACCTTATTTTAGGATCTGAAAAACTTCTTGGACGAATCCAAAGAGGGCGTCATATACTTTAGTCTGGGGTCAAATATTCAAAGCGTAAATATTCCTGAAGAAATAAGGGATACTTTGATAGCTGCCTTTTCTGAATTACCCTACAAAGTGTTATGGAAATTTGAGTCAGATACTATGCCAAATCAGCCAAAAAATGTTATTATTAGAAAATGGTTACCCCAGAAAGATGTTCTTGGTAAGAGATATTATATTTAGCATAAAAGCAAAAAAAAAAACAATATATTAAAACTTTGGATGCAATTATTTAAAATTATTAATTTTCAAATGTTCGCATATATAATTTTAGATTATATTTAAAAATATATACAGGTAGTATCCAATGATTCTATAGCTTTTTTATTATTATTATAAATTTAATAAACGACTATTTTTAAAGAAAATGGGAACAATTTTTCTCAATTATTAAAACGCAGGATTCCACGGTCGTATTTAGAACTATCAAATAATAGTCTTCCGGATTTGGATACTTCCTTTTCTAGACAATTCTGTGTGTGTAGTAGTGATCTATGTGTGGAGCTATTTAGATCACATACAATTGTGTGTCACATCTTTAAAAGTAAGGTAGGCTGTCGTTCGCGTTAACTCAAGTACTCAACATATCTACAAAAAAAAACAATATTTGGAATATTTTCAGTGTTGATTCAATTTACGGAATTATACACAGTACGAACGAATGTCTATTAATGCATTTTGAGGAAGAGTACAGTATTGAGTTTCAGATGGATGATAAGACCTCCTTGTTTTACTATTACTGCTTTGATAATTGTGGCATACAAATTTTCAGTACAAATATTCAGTAAAATGGGAGAATAGACCATATGATGCATAGGATCCACACATTGGGGTGTGGACTCACAATGCTTATTAGTCTCACAATGTCTCTTGAAGATAAAAGATTTGCCAATGAATTAATCTTTTATCACCTTTGATTTGCTGTACCGATTAAAATGTCACAGTTGATTAAGATAAACAATAACAGGATTTTTATACCTAGATGACTGTTTGACAAATCTTGAAAATAACGATTTGTGTGGGTCGAACCCAATATAAGGAACATCATTCATCTGCTAAATTAGCCATCATCATAGACTGATTATCATGGACAAATGATTATAGAATAAAGAAACAATCTTGGATGAAAATGTTGGTAGAGTCGATACCTTAAGACTCACAAGAACATCTGTGAGTTCGACTGTTAGGACGAAACTAATGGTTTTTGGCATTGGTACACGTAGAAATAGCAAAATATTATTATGTCTTACACAGGGCGGATAAAAAAGACTGCTAAATCGGGAGGGCGCTTAGTCAGCTACTTGTGCGAATATATTTAAACTATAAATTTTTGAGAAACTCAAATTGAGATTACAATTTCGTTTTATCAACTACATAACTTTTGACTCAAAAAATTAGGAAGTGTTTCATAGCAGGTGTTTTACAATTATACATTGTCCTTTGTTATTATTAGCTTTCGTCTGAAGTTATGTATTCGAAAAATTTTGTCTGCACCTGCAATAAGTATAACCATCAGTTTAGCACCAGCCTATTTTCGAAAAAGTCCAACTGTCACCTCATCGACTAGGATAATATCTTTCATAACTGCAGATGAAATTAAAAAAAAATTCTCTCCACCAATAGCTAGAAAACCAAACTAAAAATTTAAAACCAAACTTAAAAGACACTTACCAAATAAATTACTATTTAACTGGGATTAAGCCACAATTAAAGATAAAAATACGTTTATTGACGTTTCAGTTTCCACTTCAGAAATTTTTTGAGTATTTTGAGAACGATTTCCAAAGTGGAAATTGAAACGTCAATAAACGTATTTTTATCTTTAATTGTGGCTTATTCCCAGTTAAATAGTAATTAATTTAAAATGCCACAAGGAATAAGCTTCAGTACAATACTTACCAAATAGTTTTAACACCTTTCACTCATCTTTTTAATTTAGTCTATTAACTGGAGTATTTCTAAAAGTACTAAAATTCATAAACGTACTATAATCTATAAAAAAGGTGATTTTTCAACTGACAATTACATACACATTAGCATTGTTTCTACTTCAAGCACTAAGATATCGAAAAGGTTATCAAACAACAATTTTATTAACCCCCTCTGTGGCTCAATGGTAAGAGCGCCTGCCTTTAAACCTAAAGGTCGTGAGTTCCAATCCCACCTGGGTGGAAATTTTCGTTTATTAAAAAAAAATTAATAAATGAAAATAATTTCTATCCTTGTGTGATCGGTACACACCGGAGGGACCGCAGACGTTCGGATACAATTAGCGTCTCTTAGCAAAGACAATGACGTCGACTTTGCTAAGTATCAAGACAATTACTCTACACACACAAACACACACACACACACACACTACATTAATAAACTTGTATCTTGATTGAGACTGGCTGAATGACAATAGTCCAAGCCAAAACACACAAAAAAAAACAATTTTATTCCTATTTTGAGTCAAATAATTACTTTAGCAACTCACAATATGGATTTTAGATTCGTAAAACATGGAGTTTCACAAGATTCAGTCTTAAGACCTCTTTTGTTTATTATTTATGTTAATGATTTGCCTGATACGACATACGTTATATCAGGAAAAACTAATGATGATTTAAAAATACCTTACGTAGAAGTTTCTACTAAATCTATGAATGAAACTTAACTCCTATAAATTTGGTTATATTTGCCAGTAATTTACATAATGATCCAAATGACAAAGAGATCATTAAACTATTAAAAATAACCATAGATAATGGACTGAACTGGTCGGCTCATATCTTACAACTAAAGAAAAAGCTATTACGTTCGTTATTTGTTGTTCGCCAACTAGTAATGGTTGTCAACATTTAAATATTAAATATGACATATTTTTCTCTATTTCACCCATAACCATCGAGCAAAAAGACAAAAGAGGGAATCTAATCGTTATAAAAAGGAGACCAAAAAAGTGGCCTGTGATGGCGGACATATCCGGAAATGCAAAGGCGCTAAGTGTAAATTTTTCGACACTTATTAAGAATAGCTATAAAATATTTTTTAGACGAGAAAGTTTTAATTAAATATTAACGATAATAGTCTAAAATGTGACACAATTGGTAAAAAACTTCAATATAAATAAAATTTCATGTGACAGTTGGGACAAACAATAACATAACCAACCTAATTTGATTTCTTAAACAAGGAAAGAGACGGTCTTTCCTTGTTTAAAGTGGCCTTTCAAGATGGCACTTCCTGTCTAACAATATTTTTGTCCCACTACCTTTACATTTCCTCTTTTGTCTTTTTGCTCGATGCCCACAACTGAGCTGTTTATTAATCATATAAGGCAATTCAATAAACGCACTTCAAATTTTCAGAATGAAAAAAAAACTATTTTATCAGGACTTTAACAGGAGTTAGTTATCTAGAACATTACTGACCTTTCTTCATTAAATTCAAAACTATGCCACTACCTTCCCTTTTGATATTTTCTGTTATTCTATGTATGTTTGACTTGCTACAAACAATATTTGTGTTTGTAAAGTAGTTAAATAAATAAAAAAATCAATCAACCTGTACCTTTTTACCCTAAAAAACGTTTTTTAAAAACTCGGATCTATTTGATTAATTATGCTTTGATGACAATTGCTTTAATTATGGTCGGAGCTTTTACTACCTGTGACTTTTAGGATAATTTGTATGATATACTCATAAAAGATTTAATTTATATTTGTAAATTTTTATGTTTAATTTCAAATATTTACGATTTGCGATTTTAGCGCATCCAAACATAAAAGCGTTTGTATCACAATGCGGTTTACAATCTCTGGAAGAAGCCGTCTCTAGGGCTGTTCCTATTGTAGCATTGCCATTCATTGCTGATCAAGAGATGAATGCACAGCGTTTGACAGAACTTGGAGTGGCAGTCAGTCTTGATTTTGTTACGTTGACAAAAGAAGAGTTTAAGAAGGCTATAATTGAAATCGCCGAAAATTCCAAGTAAGTATTTTCATTTGGTATATTAGTATATGTCAGTTTAAAATGTGTAAATGCAGGGTGAGCCATAAGAAGCTGTATTTACTCCTAGCTCGTATGAAGGACCCTAGCATCATATAGCCTTAAAAGTCCACTGCCGAATATAGGCCTATTTCTTGTGTGACCAAACCCATCTATCTTGCGCCACACTCATCCAGTTTTTATTTTTTATTCTTAAATCGTCAGCCCATCATTTAGGTGTTTGACCTCTAAATCTTTCTTTTATCTTTCCTTAGTCTCCATTCTAATAACCTCTTTGTCCATCGCTCATATGTTATTCTAGCTTTGTGTCCTGCTCATCTTCATTTGAGTCTGGCTATCCTTTCGGTAACGTCAGTTACCCTGGTTCTTCTTCTGAAGCTCCTATAAAGAACAACAAATGACTATTAAAAAGTGTCTGCTCCCATTGTTTATTTATTTACAAGGTGAGTTGTGAATTTTGATTGAAATATTTATTTGCCATATCTTTTGAACTTTGAGTTAGATATATTTCCCATTTTACCAAACGTTACACTACTACCACCTAATCAACTTATTTGTTCAAACTAGAAAAGAATCAGGTCCCGCTTAATATAATTGGTTCATTTTTTCATATCAAAAAGTTTACCCTTAATACGGTTTTTAAAAAACCCAAAAAAGAATTTTATAAATTAGACAAATAGGCAATTAAAATGTCCTGTTACTTTTTTCCCCACACAATTACTTAACTTTAAAAAATCAATTTTGTCTATGACTTAAAAGTTTGGCAAAGTGAACTATCGATGTAAAAAATGTAACTTTAATTAAAAAAATTAAATTTCTTTGAAACAACATTTAATTTAACATGTTGCAAACGGACCGGACCTGATTCAAACTGAACAATATCAGGTCTGCTTTTAGAAAATTAGTTCGTTTTGTCCATAAAAAAATTTCACCCAGTTTACGGTTTTTAAAAACTGGAAGGAGAATTTTATGAATAAGACAAACAGGCAAATAAAATAGTATAGTTGCTTGTTTGTAGCCACACCATTACTTAAAAAAAAACAAATTTAACTATGAATTAAAAAATTAGCAAAGTAAACCATAGATGTAAAAAATGTATCGTCTGCAAAATTAAATTTTTTTAACACACTTTAAACTTAACATTTAACAAACAAACAGGACCTGATTTTTTCAGTTTGATTTATTTAAAAATGTCATTTTTAGAGAAAATTTTTTATTTTGATTTTTTTTTGATATGATATGATTATTTAAAATACATACAACTCTTAATTTTCAACCTTCTATCAACAACTTCAATTTGCTTTATTAGCCATATTAGAGTCAGAGTTAGTTGCCATACACATCCGAAATAGCTTGACCGATATTTATGAAATTTTATACATACATTGGGTAAGTCTCAGAATTGGTTCTCATTAATTGTTCATACCTCTAAGTGGTATGGGTGATAAACTCTCAATATATATTTTATATTTTTTGCAAATTTTTTTTTTTTTTTTTTATGATTTACGCCATTGAAAATACATACAACTTTTAATTTTCATCCTTTTATCATCAACCCCTATTTTTATTGGCCATGCATTGAATCTTTTCCCATCCATATATTGTACTAATATACCCTAACTTCAGGAATCTTTAAGTTCACCACTCTTTCTTTTCTCTTTCATTAATTTTCATTCTATTGCACAATTTACGCTACCAACTTATGACATTCATCAGCATGATCATGATCAACCTGTCTTCGTCCACTGCTGGACATAGGTCTCCCTCAGCTCTTTCCATCTATATGTGTCTTGTGCGGCTTGCATCCAGTTAATGCTAACAAGCTTCAGGTCGTCAGTCCATCCAATTGGTGAGTCTCCTCTGCTCCGTATAGCTTCTTGCCTTGGTCTCCACTCTAAAATACGTTTTGTCCATCGATTATCTGATAATCTGGCGACGTGTCCTGCCCAATTTCATTTTAACGACGCGAATTTTTCGATAGCGTCTGTTGTTTTTGTTCTACGACGTATTTCTTCGTTTGGGATTAGGTCTCTCAGAGAAACACCCAACATCTGGCGCTCCAAGGCCATCTGAGTCACGCAAATCTTTTTAACTACATTTTTATGAGTGTTAATGTTTCTGCTCTAGAAGTAAGTACAGGTAACACACATTGGTCAAAGATTTTCCTTTTGATGCATATGATTAGATCTGATTTAAATACATATAGTCCCTTTCCATCATATTAATAGCACATTATTTATGCAAATTCCTCAACAGGTCAAAAAACCATAGGCGTCACCATATACTTGTTTTAAAATAAATAAAAAAAAAATATTTTAAGATGCCGTCAAGAATTTACTATCTTTTAAAAAATCTTCTGTAAAATAAGTGTCCACTAATCTCACTATACCTTTTTTGTACGGTATAAAAAGGTCAGTATATATGCCACACGATTATTGTTAATTATAAACGGGTGATTAACGAGGGTATTCAATGTTTCACGAAATAAATTAATGTAAACAGTAATTTAAAGGTGATTATTGTTTTCTATACAAGCTATCGCCTGACACAAAGAGAATACCTTCTTTGAGCGATTACCTGGAATTACTGATAAGGCTTCACTAATGATAGTTTAAGTAGTTTTATGCCACATTACAGCTTACGCCAGTAATATAAATTAGAAATTGTTTGCATCTTCCATTTAGTTTGTAGATGTGCATTGTTCATGTCTTACCTACCTACGTTTTTCGTGTCGATATTTTGTTATTTGCGTTTAAAAATGACGTCGACAACAGGTTTTATCCCGGTTAAGTGTAGTTTTAAAGACGCCTTTAATCTAAGAGGGAAAAATATAATATTAAATGTACACGATGCACTTGTACATCAACGCCCTTTAAGTAATGTTCGTGAAATCGTTAACATGTGTTTAAATATGACAGGGGTTGGAGAACCAGCAATTTATAGATTCCTAAAAGAAAGAAAAGAAGGAACTGTTTTATCTCCCAAGAAGAGTTGAGGGAATAAATCCTTGGAAATTGAAGAAATACATAAAAACATGATAAGACGCAGCGTCCACTCATTTTTTTTTAACAAAGAATTTTCAACCAGTTCAAGAGTTACCAATCATAAGCAACAAGAAATTATGGGGACTATTGAGAGAGATGGGATTTCGTTGGCAAAAATATAAAAGAAAATCCGTTTGAATTAAAAAAGATTACATTGTATGTTGGAGACGAGATTATCTAAGAACTATTAAAAAGTACCGAGAAGAAGGGAAAACAATTTTTTATTTGGGCGAGACTTGACTAAATGAAGGTCATAATGTACCATATCTATGGGTTGATACAAATGTAAAAAGTTCCCGTCAGGCATTCATCGAAGGTGTATCTACTGGAATAAACAATATTTCCGTTGGAAAAGGACGCAGATTCATAATAACCCATATTGGAAACGAATACGGTTTTGTCAATGGTGGATTATTAAGTTTTGCCTCAAAATCAACCAAAGATTACCACGAGGAAATGACTGCTGACGTTTTTGAAGAATATTTTGAGCAAATGTTGGATTTAATTCCAAAAAATTCTGTCATAGTCACAGATAATGCTAGTTACCATTCAAGACTAGCAGAAAAATTGCCAACAACGGCATGGAAAAAAGGAGAGATAATCGAATGGTTGGATAAACACGCAATTGAGTACAAGGAGAATTCGACAAAAAAAGGAATTATTACCTATTGTAAGGCAACATAAAGCAGCTTATAAAAAATATATAATTGATGAAATGGCATTAAACCGTGATGTAATTATTTTACGTTTACCCCCATACCACTGTGATCTGAATCCGATAGAAAATATATGGTCTCAAGTAAGGGGTGAAGTCGGACGTAACAACAAAACTTTTAAATTAGAAGACTTACAACAACTATTAGAACATACCTTATCAAAAATAACTGCAGAAAATTGGAAAAATGCTGTTAGTCATGATCACAAGGAAGAAAATAAAATGTGGAATTTGGATAATATGACTGATGCAATGCTGACACCGGTAATAATTAACATTGGAGTTAAAGATTCCTTAGATTCTAAAGAAAGCAGTGAATCTGAAATGGAATTGGATTAAAATAATATCCATTTTTTTTACAAATCGGCCCCTGTTACGGCCACAAGTTATTCTATATATAACCAATAAAATTAACATCTTACATTTCTTGCAAATTCATTAGTACCTGTTAATCTCCATCAGTCCGACACTGGCAACTTTATTTAGGGATTAGTAACCCTCAAAACTATTCTATTCTATTCTGCTTCAACCTTTATACCTGGTGGTCATAACAGTTTAGGGATTTGCATACATAATGTGCTATCAATATGATGGAAATGGACTATAGTATAATTTACCAAACCCTGTCCAGGCTAATCATATGCAAAGTGGGAGATCACATATCTGATTATCTCTGCCCAACCGAACTTTATATCCTAGGTACTTAGACGATGTAGTTTGCACCATATCCCTTCCATCAATAGCAAAACATATTATTTAAAGTTTAAAATTACAGAAAACATAATATGAAGCTTTGCGCTAGTCCACAGTACCGCTTACTGTACCACTTTTTTGTAATTTGGCATTAAAGAATACATACAATCACGTAATTTTTACCCATCTATTACAACCACTTTTTTTAATAGCCATATTAGTTTCACAGAGTTACTTGCCATACTCCTCCCAAACGGCTTAACCTATTTTTATGAAATTTTACATGTTTATTCGGTAGGTCTAAGAATCGGTCGTAATGTATTTTTATATATCTGAGTAATAGGGGTGATCCACCCCAAACCTTTTTTTATTAATTTAAAAAACTGATAATTATGTCAAAGGAAGAATTGGAATACAAAGTAAATGAAGACAATTGGTGCATTAGAATTAACGAATTTTAAATATTTTTGACGCTCTTATTTCAAAAATATTTACTTTGTTATATACTATTTTTTTTTTGTAGAATCGATTGTATATTTTAACTTCGCTCGAAAATATATACATGAAAGTTGGGTAAGGGCCAAAATTTTAAACATTAAGAATGTAAAATAATTCTAAATATCAACGATACAATGTAGAAGGACTTAAAGATACGAACCAAACTAGGGAATATAAACAAAATATAAACACTAAACTAGAAAACAGACTCAAACATAAACACATAAATGAAAAGTGGGAAGGGTGCAGGCTAGAATTACTAGGCATGGAAGGTGAACAAAGAAGAATAAGAACTAATGAATGTTTTGATGAAGTAGGTCAGATTATAAGACAAAGATAAAACCGAGGAATATAAATAATTACGTAAAAAACGAGAGAAAATACAAGAATTACAGAAACTATGTCAGCCAATAGAGGCAAGAAAATTTTACCAGAAACTGAACAAACGAGGAGATTTCAAACAAAAGATATGAAGAGATAAGGAGGGTAATATATTGACAGAACAGTAAAAAAGCTTAGAAGATGGAATTCCTGAATGCAACTGAAAATATTTTAGATTATACTAACATATTAGATTTTGTTTGTAATACTCCACTTAACGTTTTTTTTATAAAATATTGGTTTTGAGTATGTGTTTTAAGTATATGTGTTCTATAAACAACAGAAGCCTTGTTTAGTATACATATGCTAGTACAGAGATGCAGAGATATAAATCAAAATGTGTACATTTGTGCAATCGATTTTGAAAAAGCTTTTGACAAAGTCCGACATAACAAAATGCTAAAAATATTGGAAACAGCTGGATTGGACGATAGGGATCTACGAATAATTACAAATCTATACTGGCATCAAGTGGCAAGAATAAAGGTTGAACAAGAACCGTCGGATGAAATAAATATAAAAAGATGAGTGAGACAAGTCTGTATATTGTCGCCTTTACTTTTTAACTTATATTCGGAGGAAATATTTAGGGAAGCCTTAATGGAGACAACCGAAGGTAATATTGTAAATGGAAGTAACCGTCAACAATATAAGATATGCCGACGATACCTTAGTGCTTGCTAAGGTTTAAAATCTAATGAACAAAATAAAACAGACTTGTGATCAGTATGGATTAAAACTCAACGTTAAGAAAACTAAATATATGATAGTTAGCAAACAAAATTATATACAGGATGACGGTATAAAAGTCGGAGATGCCACTCTGGACAAAGTAGAGAAACTCGTGTATCTCGGCAGTAATATCAATGAGAGCTGGGATCCAACCGCAGAAATTAAAAGCCGAATAGAACAAGCTGCCTTTGTAAACATGAGAAACGTACTTTGCAGTCACGATCTTAGCATTGACCTTAGAGTTCGAATGATATCTTGCTACATATTTCCTGTCCTGCTGTATGAAGTGGAAGCGTGGACTCTATCTGAGGCTCTTCTTAAACGTTTGATAGCCTTTGAGATGTGGGTCTTATAAAACTTATAGGAACAGTAAAATGATACAATAATTTAAATGACCACGCGTATGACTCATTTCGTCTTTTATTTACTGGAGTATTATTGTTAAACATTCTTGATCTACCTTCTGGTTTTCTATATGTTTTTTATACTATTACTTTAAGGTATAAAATAGTTAAACACGAGAAGAAAAGTATAATTTTTTGTATTATGCCAATTGTGTATATAAAAACCTTGTAAAAAACTTGTAGCTATGTCTATAAACAAATTAAATCTTAATAGAGAGTCAAAGCTTTATATAACGATAAAAATAAAAGGTATCTTGTTTTAAATTTTTTACAGGTATAGAAAAAATATGGAGCATTTGAGACAAATGTGGACAGATCAACCGATGAATTCCCTTGATAGAGCTATGTGGTGGATAGAATATGTCATTCGATATCAAGGTACCACTCATTTAAGGAGTCCTATTGCAGATATTTCTTGGATTGAATATTTATTATTAGATGTAATATGCGTTTTTGTAGCAGTTGGTTTAATTGTTCTGTATATATTAAAGTTAGTTTCTAGGTTTCTTGTTAAATTGTGCACTAAAAACAGTAGAAAACAAAAATCTATAGGAAACAAAAAATTAAAATAAACAAACAGTATTGTATTATATTTTTATTTTTACAGGATGCAACGAATCTAAAAAATATTCAAATCGATAAAAGTATTTGTATTGTTACTTAATAATTCAGAGTAGCAATGTATACGTGTAAGTTCAATATTTTCTTTAAGATACTCTAAATTTAACTTAACTACTTACTAAGAAAAAAGTAAAACTGTAAAAGAAAGTCTTTAGTACAATTAAAAAAGCAATATAAAAAAAATTTAATCTAAAGAAAATAATTAAAAGAAATAAGAATAGGACTTATCACAATCAATTTATTCTACCACCAACTATAAATTGTCTCAAAGTGACTAGTCTGTACAGGGTAAATGCACAACATCGATGCAATACTTCTTTGCAAACTTGTATTAAAAGAAACGTCACTTCTTACTACTTAGCCTAATCCATCTTCTGTGTTGAGGGTAGCTTAAGTACGAATCGACTTAAACATAAATAATATTTATTACAACATCTATTTATCTATCTATCTATCTATAGCCCAAAATTTATTCATGTGTTGAATATAGGCCTCTCCCATTTGTTTTCATTTGTCTCTGTCTCCTGTTTGTCTTTTTCACATTGGACCTGTGCTTTGCTCAATGTCATCTTTACATCTCATTTGCAGTCTACCTCTTGACCTTTTTGCAGTATATGGTCTTCAGCGGCCAATTTCTTTATTCCATCTTCCATCCTGATATCTTTCATTATACCCAGCCCATTTCCATTTTAATTTCAATGCATGTTCGACAGCGTCTGTTGTTTCGGTGTTGCATCTTATCCACTCGTTCCTCTGTTCATCTCTCAACGATATTCCCAACATTCGTCTTTCCATAGCTCTTTGAGTTTTCTTTATTCTATCTAAGTTGCTCTTGGTACACGTCCACGTCTGGGCACCATATGTCAGAACAGGTAGAACGCATGCATCAAATACCTTCGTTCTTAATTTTAAAGGTATTTTTTGGTTTGTGATAGTATATGAGAGTTTTCCGAATGCAGCCCACCCCATTCTTATTCTTCTGGTAATTTCTTTAGTCTGGTTACTTTTGTCTGCTCAGATCTCACACTCACACCCGTCTGTAATAATAAGGTTGTAGGTTTGAGGCTAAATGAAGTGTACATAAAGTGTGAATGAAAGAAATAGACCAAACGATCTATTGGACAGTGGGTAGTTGACTACAATAAAATGGTCTACCAGGCACTGTCAATACTGCAAAACGAGAAAAAAATTGAATATGAAATTGAAATATTAAAATTAGATCAGAATTGAAAGCAGTGTGTAAATGGGTATAGTTCAAATGACCTTGACCAAAAAATTATTTTGTTGTTGTTGTTAACAAATTTCTGTTCTAAGCTGTCCAAAAAAATATCAGCTAAAAAAGGTGATAATGGAGAACCATTGCTAAACCTGTCGGTTGTTTGTATATTTTTTGGTTAAATTGGAAGAAGTCTTGATCAAGACAGAATTTGAGCATAGTTGAGATAGCATCTTTGTCTTTAGCCGGTATGTTGAAATTGTTTAAAAGGTTGTGTACTAAAGGTAATGTTTCATCTCTTGGTACAGAAGTAAACAAATTGGAAACATCAAAGGAAACCAAATAAAAACTCTCTTCTATTTTGATATTATTTAAACGTTCTATTAGATCTAAAGAATTTGTAATGGAGAACTTAGGTTTAAAATTAGTAATAGATTGGATTGTGTTATAAACAAACTCTGACAATATAGAAACTGGAGTGTTGCAAAAACTTACAACAGGCCTAATGGGACAATTGTGTTTGTGAATTTTAGGAAGTCCATATAACCTAGGTGTTATAGGGTTAGATACAATTAACTTTCTGTTGTTATATTTAGAGATAGTATCATTAAACAATTTAACCATTGCTTTTGTTTTATTAATAAAGGTGTTAAGTGGATTTTTTTCTAAAGCTACAAAATTATTATCTGACAGAAAAGATTCTACTTTTTCGATGTATTGAGTTTGTTCTAAAATTACAACACAATTTCCCTTATCAGCTTTGCTAAGGACTAGAGAATCTCTATCAATTTTTTGTTTAATTGATTTTAGCAAATCCTTATGTTTTTTAAAAGAACGATGATTTCTATGAAAATCATCATTGCGCTTGCTGGATAGTTTACATCAATGCGCTTGCTGGATAGTTTACATTTTGACGAAGTAAGTCTAAAACGTTAATCTCAAAAACTTTTTTCATCCATTAACTTCGAGTTTTTCATCGAAGTTAAATAATTTACTTCATCTAAAAAAACGTTTTCTTGGCTTATTTCAGATGCCCCTGAAGATGCTATTTTAAGCGAAAGTACTTGGGCTTGATTTAATTAATTTGTGCTCGATAATAGCTTTATTTTCAAAGTTATTATTTTAGCAAAAGACAAAGACATCTACGTGATACAATACGTCTACATGATAGAACAAATAAAAGAATAATTTGAAGGCTGGGCTTTGGAAATTAATTATGATAAAATTCAATACATGGTCATTACAAACATGGTAGAAGATAGATCATAAAAATTCAATTACAGTAGATTAATGGAGCGACGATATTACAAGTAAAACTTAAGACCAATATCACTGTACGGTTCAGACTCCGTCCGACAAACGGCGAGAGATTATTTCCGGGGCCCTTCTCCCTGTCCGTCGTAAAAGGCGATTCATGGGAAGAAATAAAAGATGGTGGTGAGCCGTTGGCGTTGTTTGAGGTGTCAGGTCCGTTTGATGTATCTGAGACATCTATAAACAAAGTGAGGTTAAACGAACATCAGGCTTCACGTGTCCTCTCTCACGAAGGATCCCGGATAGGTGTTCACAGGTATAGCAACACAGGGACTACGTGGAGGGTGGAGCCTAAGCTGGAGCAATCTTCAAATGGTTTCGGAATCGTAGGGACAATGGATTCTCTTACGGCCAGTAGAACCTGAATCATAGCTCCTACGTTCTATATGAGCAGGAGTGGCACAAATTTACTTGTGCCACAAAAACATTAGTTTTGAGAAATGATTGTATTTTGAGAACGATTTTCTAAGTGTTAATTGAAACGTCAATAAATTTACTTTAGCCTTTAATTGTGGCTTATTCCCATTTAAATAATAAAAACTTTAAATTTAATGCAGAGTTTCGACAAACATCCACATACATCCTTAAGCAAAATTGCCTAAATATATGATTTAGGGGAACGGGAACAAACGGGCTGACGCCCTGGCAATACAGGGCTCATCTACTCTGCCTGTGAGACTCAAACCTGTGATTGAAGGGCTCTTTAGTACTAGTTAGGTCTAAGTGTCCGAAGGGCTTACAATTGGGAATTGCTCCGATCTACCATAACCTATAACCATACGTTCATAATAACTAAGTGTCGTTACATACTATAAGAAAAACACCCGACCCGGGTCTTTAACGGTCCGAGTGTTTTTCGTATGAATTTTACACAGCGCATACCTGTTTATCCGATTTCTCTCGATCCGGAGACCTCACATCATTTTCAGTATCAGTGCAGTATTCAGTGTTCTTTCATTATGGACAGACGTAAGAAAATGATTATTATTTCTTTATTAAGACATCGTCGCAAAACAAAAAAATTGAGAACTGTTTGGGTTCATCCAATAGTTGCACAACGGTATATTGTTGGTACATTTCAGACACTATTTTCCCAGCTAAGGGAAGATAATGTGAAATTTTTCAATTACTTTCGAATGTCTATTTCTACTTTTGATGAACTACTAAAGTACCTACAACCTCATATCCAGAAAGAAAATACCCACTTAAGAAATTGTATTCCACCTATAGAAATGTTGGCAGTAACATTAAGGTAAGTTGGGAAGTTTAATTAATTATTACTAAAAAATAAGCTTTATTATTGAGTTAATAACAACAACTGTATTAAAAATCCATATCTGACAAGAATGAAGAAAGTGAGGAGGGTGTCCCTGCTTCTGTTGAAAGAGGTGTTGATGTTTGACGAGTATACTCTTCTTGGTAATGTGTTGTTGCTGCAGTTAACATATTGGACTGTGTCTGTGTATTATTAAAAGCCGTAGCTTGACTGTTGTCTTGTGTCCCAGGTACAAAATGTTGCTGAGGTCGAGGGTGCGCTGGAGGATATGGATTGTGTAGCGTAGAATAGTAGAGAGGCGTTTGTTGGTTGACAGCCGGCAGATGAGGATTTCCCGATTTAATGTTTTTTACCAACTGTAAAATTCCCATCTGAAACTCAATAGTTTGGGAGTCATTAAAACCTTGAATAGAAGGTAGGACGCCTTTAAAAAACAGTAAGTGCCGGTCTTGCGGCTCATCCGACTCCAAGCTTTTCAGCATTCGCAATTCAAACTCGTCCATTCTACGCTTTTTGTTTGCACCTTGGGTTACTTTGTGAGCACCATCACGACGTTTGGTAGTTGTTTTTTCTGGTGCTACTTCTGTTACAGGGGTGCCAGTAGCTTGGTCCTTATTTTGTTGTGAATCGTTTTCACTTTCGTGTTGTTCTTCGCCTTCATTTGGAATATTAGATTCTGTTGGTCTGTGGGTCGGAATTTTCTCCAGAAACTTTAATTGTTCAGCATAAATATACTTTCTTATTTTTGATGCTCCTGCTCCTGATTTTTTTACGTCGTTAACCCTCTTTTTCCACTTCATCCATTGGTCTCGAATATTTGTCCAACGTTTCAAAACCAATGTACCTGCAATAAGAGAATCGTGTAAAATTTGTGTGACTTCAAGGTGAACATAGTGAACAAGTCAAAGGACCCCGCGCTTTTTAGTAGGAAAATGACCCTTGATGAAATTTTCTACATTTTTGATATGTTGTAATTATCATCAACCATGGACCCAACTCAATCCTATGAGTAGTTTTCGAGATAGAGGGTGTTACAGTTTAAAATGGTTTCATTTTACTACTACTTAAACTTGTAGTAAACGTTTTTGTGTAACATAAATTCAATCCATTTTAAAGTTTAACACCCTGTATCTCAAAAACTAGTCATAGGATTGAGTTG